TAATAATAATAATAATAATAATAATAATAATAATAATAATAATAATAATAATAATAATAATGGGCCTATTATTTTTTAATTTTTTTTAATAGTTTAGGAAACGGAGCGAAAAAGGAAAAAAAGAAAAACGAAAAGGGTGGTAGTGGCGCCGTCCTGATTGAAAAGCGAGAGGGAGGAGATCTAGACCGTTGATGGGGTAATGGTGAAAATGGAGGGCTCAGATTGAGCGTAGTGTCACACTCAAAGAACCTTGCTAGGAGCAACCAACGTGAGGTTCATTTTGTGGGCGCACGAAAGGAATGGAAAGTCACTCTGAAATCTGAATGTGAATCTCAATTCTAATTCTCACCCTTTATATTGAATCTAAGTGTTTTTAGATCTTATTCTTTAAAGAAAAAAATTTTATCTTTTTTTTTCAACTATAACATTTTTTAGGATTTTGTTATAATGTCTTATCTTTAAAAATATATCATTTTAATCTATTGGCGAAAAATATTTTTTTTTTCAAATTTAAATTTAATGTTATATTAAAAATAATAACCCACAATAATATTCTTGATATAAATTAGAATAGTTACCTTAAATGAGAGTTTTTTCATAAACCACTTTTAACGAGTATTTTTAGTCATTTTCCTTTAATAACAATATTTTTAAGAATCTTTGCTTAACTTTTTATCTCTTTTGATTTATCATTCTCATTTTTTATTTCTAAATTAGTATTTTGATGTGTAATGTATAGGTTAATATTAATTATTTTATATAACTAAAAATCATTTATATACATCAATAAATATTATATTTGAGTGTATAAGTTATAAAATTTAACTCATTAATAATTATAAAAAAATAAAAAATTGAATTAGATAAAAAAATTTAAAAAATATATCAAATAAAATTTTTAAAAATGCTCTCATACTAAATAATTGTTAATATTTAATTTATAGGAATTGATTAATTTTTATCTTTTTAATATAAATTATTATTATTTTGTGACGAAAGTGTTTGTCTTGTATTTTTCAAAATATGGTTTATTTAATCTCTCGTCACGTTCAAATTAGAAACATGAGAACTAAATCTGTAGTTTATAATATAGAATTAAAACCGATTTTGACTGAATCTTAAAAGATTTAAAACATATTTTATACAAAATTATATATATATATCATACACCCACAAACACTAACTTTAGCATCGGAGTCTCTTTTGCAGGTACCACCCCCATCTTGGAGCATCAAGCGTACCAGCGAAGGAGACTCACCAATCTTACTCGGAGGATCATCTCTACAGCAGATTTCCGGTAAGAACATATATATATATATATATTGTAAAATATTTTAATACCTCACCAAAAAAAATATTTTAATACGATTATTCAATTACAAATTATATCGTACATGGCAAGTATTGATTTCAATATTATTTGTCTTACAAATCACTAGTCAAATAAAAAATAACCCATACTGCAAAAGTTTTAAAATTATGTGTATATAATATTAATATTAAACGTGTGTACGTATATGATATATGAGTTGTTACATTTCTTTTTTCTCCTCCCCTTACCAAACCCGCTAATTTATTTTCTCTTTATTTTTATATTCCTGCTACTTTTTATGTCATGATTTGGTTTATTTAATAAATTAAATTTATTAGCCGATTGTTATTCAAAGCAGATAATATTGTATTAGTCGATTCAACTAACATTTAGCGTTCAAAAAACAAAAATCTACGTACAATTATTATGAAATTTAACTCAGATGGATTCAGGAAATGTAAAGCCAGTGCATAAGCAAGGTAATACAACTAATATTTGGTTAATGAAAGTTATTCTTATGAATTAAAATTAATCTTAATTGTAATTTAAAGATATTATGTCTATAAAAATAAAAGTTAATTCATAAATTAAATTATATTATTATTGTTACTATTTTTATTGTTATTATTACCCGATTATTATTAGATTTAGTTATGATTATAGTGATGATAATAATAGTAATAAAAATAATAATGACGATACTAATAAAAATAATAATATTATAAGATAAGTTTATAATTATGTTTTAATATTAATTATATTTTTTAATTTTAATTTAAGGGTCTTCATTTTAAAAGTTTTATATTTAAAATGTTATGCAAAACCATCATCATCATTAAGTAATAGTAAAATCACAAATATGGTAAATAATTATAATAGAAAAATATTTATCACTGATAATGAAAAAGTATTTTATTAGACAGTATCAAATTAAAGAAATAATATTTTAAATTATATAAGAAATTAGAAAAACAATTTATTTGAATCAAAATATTAAAAAGAAATTAATAAACATATTGTAAGCATAAATTACTCATCATTTCATTCGAAAGTTGTTAGTATCCGTAATTCAATATTTGTGTTTCTTTATCAAGAATCAAATTTTGATTTATATTCTTAAACATGAAATCATAATTTAAATTGATTTAAAATATGAGTTAATTACTGTTAGTGTAAAGTATTTTTAGACTGATAATCAATTATTTTTTTAATAATATTATATCATTTGCTTATTAATTAAATTAAAATAAAAAAAATACTATTAAAAAATATTATTGATTGTTAGTGTAAAAAAATTTTATATTGACAGTGTATAAATAATTAATTCTTATATTATACTGTTATACTATAGATTAAAAAAATATTATATTTATCAAGAGGTCAAACTCAATTGATTAATCAAGTGAATGAGTGTCGTAATTTTTTTTTTATATATCAGTTTGTTTTTCATAAATAAAAAACAATTATACTAGTATTTATTTAATCCAATGGTAATGAGAGCGAATTATAATTATAATTCAGTCAAACTTTGCCTTAATAAAATTGATGTATTTGTCTATCTTTGGGTAGGTTTTGTTCGGCCTTCAACGAGAGATACAGTGGCTTAAGTCAAATTAATTTGTAACAGGCATTCAACAGCTATTAAATAAAGGTTGAAATATATTTTTTTAAGTTGAATAATTTTACTCACTTAAAAATAAATTTTTAATCTATATTTATTTATTTTAATTATTTTTAATTCTTTTAGTTCAACATTATTTTTCTAATTTTTATATTTATACTTTTTAATCTTTTAATTTTTATTATATTTTTTTATAACATTGATTATTTTGTATTGACGTGATAGATATTTTTAATTTTATAAGCGTAAAAAAAATGTCTCAACAATAACATTACACATGAAAATACAAAAAAAAAATACAAAAGATCAAAAATTTTAATTTAAAATAATTTTAATAAAATAAATTTGATATAAAATACAAAAATTGAATTAATATATCTATTATAAAACTGTAAATATAGAGACTAAAAAGATATATTTTAAGTATAATAATTAAAAATAATTAAATAATATAAATATAAAGATTAAAAGAATTTATTTTAAATTATAAAAAATAAAATGTAAATTTTATTTACCTTAAATAAATATCAGTCTATTGTAAAACTCTTCAAAGTTATCTCCCGTACTTAACTACTACAAATAGTAAATATGGGACCATAGTCAAAGCAGTCAGAATTATTATATTGGAAGCTAATTATTAAAGTTTGTTTGAGAAAACGTAACAGTGACTTGGTCAATCATAGTTTAGT